CCCTCGGTATGGCCACCTCTAGTTCAGTGGCCACTAGGTAAGTAAGGTAAGGGGGTATATAGTTTTTAAATAGCAATTAATACTTTATAACAGGAACAAACCTCAGATACACCTAATTTCAATCATGTTGTAAATATTGAAGTTGTCGAAAAACCTGGTGGAGAGAAAAAACAAATGCCATAAGTATAGCGCTAATTCCTCCTCTTCAGTAAACGTGACTGGTGAGGCTGACAGCAGTAACGTCATAACGATGGAATGAAAGGAACTGGTTAAACTTTGATAAATAAAATGTAGACGGAGCTTAGTGTGAGTCTCTTTGTATTATTATTATCATTATTGTTATTATTATTATTAGTATTATTATTATGCTTTGTTTTGGTTCCTCTGTCTGGTGTTATTCTCGTGTTCTCTTATTCCTTTGTTATTCTTTATGTATCTTTATCATTTCTTTTTTATTCTCCTTGTTCCTTGTTTATCATCCTTTCCTCTCACTCCTCCGTCAGCGCTATCTCACTCACTCCTTCCCTCACCACTCTTCCTCCTCACTCACCCCTCAGTCTTCCGCCTTACCTCAATCTTCACCCTGCCAATACCACCTACCTCCTCCAACTCCTCCCACTTACTCCTTTTCCTCTTCCACTTTCTCCTCACTTACTCCTCCTATTCCTCTTTCTCCTATTCTTCTTCTCTCTCTTACTTCTCCCCATTTTTCTTACTCCTCCTCCTTCACTTCTTCTTCTTACTCCTCCTCCTTCTTCTTCTCCCCCCTCTTTATTCTCCCCGTTCATAGACTCAGTTCAAACATATATAATCAAAACAATATTTCCGGCATAGTAGCGTTCACCATCTATGTAATTCGACACAATTTATAATGAAAAGTAACTTTCACCATTGATTCTGCGCACAACTGACAGTGTCCAGGGAATATCGGTCACACCTGTACGTCTCTCAATATCTTAAACATGCCTGGTGGTTACAATGAGTCATTATATACCTGAACAGATGGTTTAATTATGGGTACCTGTGAATTATAGGAGTTCTTTATGAGTACCTTTGAGTAATATGGTTTGTTCTCAGTACCTGTGGATTATATGGGTTCCTTGTGATTACCTGTGAATCACTTGTGGGTTATTGTGGAAATCTGTGAATTTTATGAGTTCTTTATGAACACCAGAGACTTTATGAACAAATTTAAAGTCCCTTGGCGTTATTTTGAGCACCTGTGAGTAACTTGGCATTATTGTGAGTGCCTGAATCACCTGAGAGTCATTTTGAGAACCTACAAGACACCTGGAATCATGAGGAAACACTGTGAGGTGCCAGTGTAAGGGCGGCGAAACAAGCTGCCACCAATGTAAGGGCGGCGATTCCTACTCACACTGCCCACCCTTATCTTACTTACTTATGTTCACTGGTTACCACATAACCTCAGTTCCTTTTGGTAGCATGGCGAGGGCCGGCACGTGGGTATAGTAATTCTGATATCATGTCACTTGGACGGAAATAAAGGTGAAAAACTGGGAAAAAATGAACACTCCTAAAATACTCAAAGAACAGGTTTATTAATATGAAATACAAAGGGAAAAAGATATTATTAACATACCACTCCAAGGTGCAATTCCTCGGCCTACTCCACTGCACTTACTCAGATCCTGTACTCTTACTACACATAACCTTACTGGTGTTACATTACATTACATAGTTACATGACAACTCCTAGCTTCTCTTAACTGCCAATCCAAGTGGGTACTTACTTCACCCACATTACTGGTGATACATTTCATTACATACATGACAAACTTACAGGTGATACTTCATTACTGAAACCAACTCATACATGGGTCCACTACCCAACATGGGATATTTATTTCCAATTAGCTATCCCTAAACATATACATCAAACACTGTGGGCCATAAATGCCAGGAATGCGTCCCAGGGTAGGACACTGGGGCTCACGACCGTTGCTGTGATCGGTGGAAGCCAGACACATAGCGAGTCTGGGGTCTAGCTCCACGAGGTAGAGTGAGCAGATTAATCATGCCGAATCAGCGCCATCGCTCATATATTGATCATTGCTGAATATCCACCGGCTCCAAGCGACCGGTGGGTGTTCAATAAGCTTCCCCTTGTACCTGTAGACAAGTTGGAGAGGACGCGTCACAGAAGACGACTCTCTACGCAGCAGTGGTTCATATACCCCTGAGTTGCCAGCGATCGCTACACACGCAATGACAGAAATCACAAACAAACCAACTGTCACCCATTCAAGGATGACCCTCAGTTGACAAGGGTCTGGCGAATTACTTGAGTTGATTTACACAGACTAATCCAAGATTGAGCTTGCCAAGAAAAAGTGGAATAAAAAACGCATTGACAATTGTGTTCGGAAGCGGGACTTACTGGGAGGGATCATGAGTATAAGCGTCGATGGGGAAAAACACGTCTTCTTAGGAATAGCTAACCCACTCATGTTTTGCGTTCGTGGAGTAGAATTGTAACCGCCAATCAAACGGTTAGAGGGTGAATAATACTTCTCACGTCGTACACGAACATTATAATTCGTTCAAACCTTCATTTAGTATTTCAAATAAGTCATACATAGGCACTCTTACATAAATGTTTAATCCAATATATATATGGCTATGTAAGTAGTCTAATCTTAACACAAAAACAATGACACAGTCTACCTGTGTACACAATAAGTACTTACGTGTTGAAAGTCTAGAGAGAAGCCAGGGTAGGTGTTGACTCTTAAGATATGGGTAGCTATACTGAAATGCCCACCCTGTAGCCTGGCCCCTTGGCTGGTCAGCTATGGCTGAGTCAGGTGATTATAATTATACATAAACAAACTCCCTTCACACCCTCCAACCTCCTTCTGGGCCTCTCATCTTCAACCATCTCGACACTCTACATTGCATATGGGCACGCACGTCCAATAAACATGACATGAGTTACAGCCTAACATAAGCATTTGTTTATATGTCATCATAATTATGTACCGCTTGCGGTAACACCCACTCCGTTGAGCATTCACGCTCAAACCAGATCAGGCCTTTGATACTTAATTTTGTCACGTTCATGCGACTAAGCTGCCCTCAGGCTGGTGATATTTAACTTTGTCACGTCCTTGTGACTAAGCTGCCCTCAGGCTGGTGGTATTTAACTTTGTCACGTCCTTGTGACTAAGCTGCCCTCAGGCTGGCGGTATTTAACTTTATTTGTGTCACGTTCCCGTGACTAAGCTGCCCTCAGGCTGGTGGTATTTAACTTTGTCACGTTCTCGTGACTAAGCTGCCCTCAGGCTGGTGGTATTTAACTTTAATTTTGTCACGTTCTCGTGACTAAGCTGCCCTCAGGCTGTTGGTATTTAACTTTAATTTTGTCACGTTCTCGTGACTAAGCTGCCCTCAGGCTGGTGGTATTTAACTTTGTCACAGTCTTGTGACTAAGTTACCCTCAGGCTTGTGGTACTTATCAGTTCCTTAGGACATCTCGGTCCTTTGACGTTCGGACATCACCATCTTCATATGTGGATACCCAATTCATTCTCCTGGCCGACTCCGTCAACCCTTTCCATTGCTCCCTCCAACAAGCATAATTTTGTCACAGGTCGCAACATTGTGGACGTCGTCGTCTTAACCACTGCCTGTCGTACAAGTCCATCCTCGCCAGCCTTGACTTCCATCACTCGACCAAGGTGCCATTTGTTGCGTGGACTATTTGCTTTTGCTATAATGATTAGGTCACCAGGGCGAAAGTTGCGCCGTGGTCTGAAATGCACTTGTCGAGTTCTGAGTTGAGGGAGGTACTCCGTCAGCCAGCGCTTCCAAAATTGATCTGCAAGGTACTGGACATGCTTCCACCTTCTGTGGTATGATTCGCTTATTGACCTTCCACCTACGGGAAGATTACCCTTTTGACTTAAGTGCAAAAGATCAGCAGGAGTGAGAGCCTTTGGTTCATTTGGAGTGTTTGGAACCGGGGTGATTGGCCTCTCGATAACTATGGCTTCCACTTCACAGAACAGTGTTTGCAGATGTTCATCGTCTAAAACTTATGAGCCCACAATCGCCTGCAGAACCTTCTTTACTGTGCGAATCTGCCTTTCCCATACTCCCCCCATGTATGGGGCAGCTGGTGGATTGAAGACCCAGTCAATATCTGCTTTCAGTAAGGCACCTCTGAGTCTGTCATCTTGCTCCCAACTTTTCACTGCCAGTTTGAGCTCTTTGGCTGCCCGTACCATGTTTGTCCCATTATCCGACCTAATACGCTCTGGTGTACCTCTGCGTCGTGAGAACCTTGTAATTGCGTTGAGGAAGGCATCTGCGTCTAATGAGGCCAAGACTTCTAGATGAACAGCCCTAATAGTTAGACATGTAAACAGACATCCCCAGCACTTGACCTGTTTCCTCCCTACCTTGATAATGAATGGACCAAAACAGTCCGTTCCAGTGTAAGCAAATGGAGCCTTTCCAGGAGTGACACGATCTATTGGTAAGTCAGCTTGCCTTTGATGCAGACTTCTCCAGTTGTTCCGTCGGCACACTACACAGCGTCGTATGATTCTACCAAGCAAGCGTCTGCCCTGGGGAATCCAATACCTTTGCCTCACACACGCCATCGTGTGTTCTCGTCCGGCATGTCCGGCTCTCTCTTCGTGCATCTCCCGCACTATGATTTCGGTGATGTGGTGGTCTCTAGGCAGCAAGATTGGCTCCTCACCACTTCACCCAAGAAGGGTTCCTTTAATTCTTCCCTTTGATCTGAGCAACGTTCGCTCGTCCAAGTAAGGTTCCAGTTTATATAGCTTATTGTCCTTCGGCAGCTCACCCTTTATGACAGTTTGGATTTCTTTCTCATAAGCCTCTTTCTGCACCAATTTTATAATTGTCTGCTCAGCCGACTGTAGTTCCTCAGTGCTTAGCCTCTTCAGTTTGAGGCGCAGGTCTGAGGTCCTTGTACTGGACCCAAGCCACCAAATAAACCTTTTAATTCATGCCACCCCTTTCACCAAGCGGTACCATGATGAGTGCCTGAGCCATAGTTTGGCGAGGGACCACTTTGACTGCTCGCTCACTGCCAGAGCAACAACAGATCTCTGGTGTACTTCTCGTTTCACCTCCAGTAAGTCGTTCAGAATTGCTGGCAGTTCCTTTCCCTTTGGCCACCGTTCTTCAACACTGAGTAGAAAGTCAGGACCTCGTATCCACCGAGATCCTGCAACCAGGTCCACGACAGGTAATCCCCTAGTTGCATCATCTGCTGGGTTCAGCGATGTGCCGACATGTCTCCACTGGTCAGTTCTTGACAGCTCTTGTATGACTGCTCTCCTGTTGGCTACAAACGTTTGAAATCGTCTGCTCGAATTGGCGATGTACTGCAAGACTAGCATGCTATCCGTCCAAAAATAAGATTCGTGTACGGTCATGGTCATTTCTCGGCGAATCGTTCGATCAGCGTTCACTGCCAGGACAGCTGCACAAAGTTCCAGCCTTGGTATTGTCAGTTGCTTGAGTGGGGCCAGCTTGGCCCGTCCGTACACGAAAGAGCACTGGATACTTCAGCCAGAGTCTACCATTCTCAGATAGGTCACCGCACCGTAAGCAGCCTGCGATGCCTCGCAGAATGTGTGCAACTGTGCTGAGATGATTTCTTTAGCACATGCTGTTTTTAGGCATCTGGGTACCCTTAATTTCCCTAGGTGGGCCAGTTCTCCTAGCCAGGTGCTCCAGGTCGTGTGATTAACAACCGACAAAGGTTCGTCCCACCCTAATCGACGCCTGCATTCACACTGAAATAAAATTTTAGCACCTGATGATGAATGGGGCCACGAACCCCAGTGAGTCATAGATACAGTAGAACTGACCAGGTTTAGTACTCCTCTCCTGGTCGCTGGCCTTGAGTTTGGTTGCACCTTGATGGCGAGCTGATCACCTTCCAGGTGCCACCTAACCCCCAGGGCTCGCTCCATTGGCAATTTGTCTTGCCTCAGATCAATTTCCTTCAGTGCATTTTGCCTCTCCTCTGGTGGGATGGTAGCCAACACTCCTTTATGACAGTTTGGATTTCTTTCTCATAAGCCTCTTTCTGCACCAATTTTATAATTGTTTGCTCAACCGACTGTAGTTCCTCACTGACATGCTCCAGAATTCGTCGCAGCCTGCTAATCCATGTGCTCTGGAACACACTGGGCACGAGCCTTTTCCAGAGCTTGTTTCTCCTCCATTGCCTTTCGCTTCACTGATAGTCATTACAGACTTTACATTGATATTTGGGTTATTTACAAAGCAATATCACTTCAGTCAATTATGACTGCTATTTGTGTTCTGCACTTACGTCAGACAACAATAATGACATAGTGTTTTCATTCTCATTTGCACTACACTGGGAGTGATGAAGATCACCCAGACAAGACTATTTTCTGGACTAACAAGGTTTAACTATTATCGATGCGAGAAGTACACGGACGTTACACTGCACTTACTCGCCACTGGATACACACACATCCACACCCGCACGCTACACTAAGAGTGGCTGAGCTCACTCTGACAACATTATTTTCTTCAATAACAAAATGTTCAAGTATTATCGCCACTATAAATCTACGGGCGTTGCACTGTAATCCGTGGCACTGGGAACACGCACGCGCGCACGCACACACTCACGCGCTTCCCTCCAGTGGGTTGAGTTGATTTGACCTTGGTTACTGCTGGCCGCGCGTTGGCTCAAGGTTGCACTGCTACACAGTAGACATTCACGTTTGGCTGTAACCGCCAATCAGACGGTTAGAGGGTGAATATTAATTCTCACGTCGTACACGAACATTATAATTCGGTCAAACCTGTTGAATACAATTCATTTAGTATTTCAAATAAGTCATACATAGGCACTCTTACATAAATGTTTAATCCAATATATATATGGCTATGTAATTAGTCTAATCTTAACACAAAAACAATGACACAGTCTACCTGTGTACACAATAAGTACTAGTTAAACTTACGTGTTGAAAGTCTAGAGAGAAGCCAGGGTAGGTGTTGACTCTAAGATATGGGTAGCTATACTGAAATGCCCACCCTATAGCCTGGCCCCTTGGCTGGTCAGCTATGGCTGAGTCAGGTGATTATAATTATACATAAACAAACTCCCTTCACACCCTCCAACCTCCTTCTGGGCCTCTCATCTTCAACCATCTCGACACTCTACATTGTATATGGGCACGCACGTCCAATAAACATGACATGAGTTACAGCCTAACATAACATTTGTTCATATGTCATCATAATGTTACGAACCACGTCATCAATTGTCATGATCTACCTACCCAGCACTACGAACCACGCCATCTATTGTCCTGATCTACCTACCCAGCACCACGAGCAACGCCATCTAGGGACGAAACCCGAGTATGACTACTCTTAGTTACCACTCCGGGGTTTCCCTTCTCCACATCCTGGTTGTTGCGTCACCTCCTCAAAGTCTTCTTCGTCAGCTCCAGTTCGATGAGAGTGGAGTTCACTCTGGGAAGTGACCACAGGATCACCTATCCTGGAAACCTACGGCGCAGTGACTACCTACCGTCTTCTACAATACTCAGCCTTACTCGTCAGCCATCTCAGCTCCACACTTAAGTATCTGTTATCCTGTATTGCCTCCCCGCGTCCACTTGCTTCAAAATTATTGTATGTTGTATAAATATGTATATACTGTTAATGTTTAGGTTAAGTATGGTTAAGGGTAAATTATAGAAAGCTGAATATTTTGTTAAGGAATTTATGGTACTTTATTATACACAACAAAAACTCGCATCCTTTGTCTACCCTTTTATAGTCCGATTGTCTTTGTTTTTGTTTTTTTGTTGTCTGTTGGGATCTGGGTAGACTTTTAACTATATTCAAAATCCCCAACTCGTAACAATAATTATGTACCGCTTGCGGTAACAATAATAAGAATCAGGTTCTAAAACAGACTAGCAGTCAACGTGACCATGATACAAGGAAGACTTATAAGAAATATTGAAGCACCAGGAGCGCTTGTGTAATAACTGTAGGCGTCACGAACACTTGTGAGATTGACTATGCTAACGTCACGGCTATGTGAGCACGTTTACGAAAAAACCCTGCAAACTACGCATCGTAAATCCTCCTAAACTATGCATAAAACAGTGTCAACTACGCCCCGAAAAACCTTGTAGATTTAAGCAATAAAAACCTTTTTAAACTACGTGTGGGGTGTGTGTGTGTGTGTCGAGTGTATGTCGGGCCTAATGTGTTCATGTTCGAGTGCTGCCCTCTGGTGGTGTGAATGGCATGCAACCCTGATATTTCCAGCCAGATAATTTATATTAGCGGCCGATATGACGGCATCCAGAATATGTGATGATCGGCCGGCTAAGTTGACGAAGTAAGATAAAGATGTTTGAACACTTGATGTATAAAACACCTAACCTGATAGATACTCCTTGTAAGACGGGGAAACATTACTACTGCCAAAGGTACACGGCAGATGCGCGAAAGGTGAAAGCGATTTCGGATTTCCCTGGTCTGTAGAATATCAACCGACCTGCTAAGGTTTGTCAGGGGACTCACTAATCAGCTGGGGAACTTTCCTTCAACAGTCGCGAATGCTGCCTACCCACTAAGGAACCTTCCCAAGCCTCGCAACGACTGGTACTGGACGTCTCAGCATAATGTGGTACACGGAGGCTACAGTGAAGGTAATCAAGAAGCTGATGGAGACGACCACAAGAGGTGACCGTCTGGGCGAGAATGATTTTGTGCGTGGGCTGCTGGAGCTAAGGTACACCCCCCGCGTGCTGACGGAAGGTCTTCTGTACAGGTCCTGTTCGGTCATCATCTGTGACCATCGATCTATTTGCACTGAGTGGCAACATGATGCAGAGTTTTGTGATGTCAAGGCTGAGCATCTACGTCAAAAAGCCAAAGAACGACGCGACACCTCTGAACGACCATTCTCTCATCGGCGTCACGGTGCATGTGTTGATGTGCAGGACCAGGCAACAGGTCGCTAGGATCGTCTGGGAGTTATTGTTGACATTGGTTCTCGTAGGGACTACTTGGTCAAGATGGAGAATGGTTGCATCCTGTGGAGGAACAGCACATTTCTTCGCCCTCATCATCCCATGTTACCACACCCCCTGAGCCAGTCATCCATGCAGCCAATGCTAACGAGCCGTGTACTACACCGACACAGCCACCACAGAGACACCACGAATCACCTACAACCCTTCGTCGCAGTGCTCGCCAACGGCAGGAGCCATGGCGGCTGATTGTGCGATGGGACATAAAGATATACTGTGATGGCGGTACTTCAGAGGACAGGGATTTTTCTGTTATCCCTGACGTCTTGAGGGGAGGGGGGTAATGTGTGTCGAGTGTAAATCGGGGCGCCCCCTACATTGTGTGTAAGTGCTTCCCTCTCGTGGTGTGAATTGTATATACTGTACGGTGATTGTATCACTTTCTGTACGTCATTATGTATATGGTGTTTGTGTACATGTGAGGAGGTGAACTCTTAGCTGGAGGTTCACACTCGGGTCAGTTGTTCTCTGTACCTGCTCCCCGTTATAACCCTTAAGTCTTAGTCAAGAAACACACACTCTGAGACAACTACCAAACACAACGCATTAAAAACCTGTGTATACCGCTTCTGTGTATACAGGTGCAGGTATGAGTTCTTGTTCTGCCCAAACACCTGTACCGTTGATTATGGGGATAAGAAGGGTGAGTTAGTGGGTGTAGTAAATAGGAGGAAAATAGCCTCCTCTCCCAGTAACTGAAAGAGTTAGCCCCGTTGACCAAAATCAAATAGCCTTCGTTAATTATTAAGATAGCAATCCTCAACTAAATAGTGAATATGGCCCTCGCCATTTGGAAACTAGCCCTGAACTGCTAAAATAGCCCTCATCACCCAAAAAAAAAAAACTAACCCCAATCGCCTGAAAAATAGCCTTGGTAACAGTGTCTTCGAGGGCTATACTTTCTTCCATAAACAGAGCCTCATATTTTGATTCTCTTTTGTACAAGTTACATGAGAGAGAGAGAGAGAGAGAGAGAGAGAGAGAGAGAGAGAGAGAGAGAGCGCGCGCGCGTGTGTGTGTGTGTGAAGACATTCTGATGTAGGGTAGCCAGACAGACCGGCTTTCGAGCGCTCTGTCCTCCGTCCGGCGCTACCTCGAGCCGGACGTTAATTTGTCCTCCTTTTTGTTGTCTGACTAAAAAGAATTATAAAAATTACCTAAGGTACACTTAAAACAGCGGGCACTGAAGGCCATAATAACCGTTAACGTATTTTTATTACATGTAGTTGCTGGTCAACACTGCTGATGAGCCGCAGTGTACGACAGGTCGAGTCAAGTTGTCAACACCGTCA